CTATCATGCGTTTCTGGACCTTCTTAATCTCTTTGTCGGTTTCCTGAACCTTATTGATCTCATCAAGTAAGGTAGGCCTCACTTCAAACCTCGCCACTAAGGCGCCATCAGTAAATACTTCGAATCGAGCTCTCAATGTTCTCAAGTTGGTTAACAATACCCCAGACGAACTCTTTCGACTTAGGGCATCGACCATGACGTTTGCTTCACTCGGATGGTAATCAATCACTAGGTGGTAGTCTTTTATCAACACTATCCATCTTCATTGTCTCGTGTTTAGCTCTTTATGAGTAAACACGTACTTCAAGCTATTGTGGTCAGTCTATATGTGATACGTCTCTTCGTAGAGATAATGCCTCCATATCTTTAGTCAAACACCATTATCCCCAATTCTAAGTCATGGGTAGGATAATTTACCCCGTGCTTCTTCAACTGTCGTGAAGCATAGGCAATCACCTTCCTCATCTGCATCAACACACATCCAAGCCCTTGAATGCTTGTGTCACTATAGACATTGTACCCCATACTCTGCTTTGGTAGGGTGAGTACCGGTGCCTCAGTCAATCTCTTCTTCAGGTTTAGGAATCCTTTCTCACATCGGTCATCACAGAAAAACTTAGCCCTTTTTCGAGTGAGCTTCGTCAATGGTGATGCAAAAACTGAGAATTTCTCCATGAACTTTCTATAGTACCCCGCTAGTCCAATGAAATTACGAATCTCCTTCACGTTCTTAGGTTTTTCCCGATCCGTGATAGCCTCAAATTTCTTGTTGTCAACGGCAATGCCTGACTCGGAAATCACATGCTCGAGAAAGCCAATCTCTTTAAGCCAAAACTCACAGTTAGAGAAGTTATCATAGAATTGCTTCTCTCGCAGTGTTTCAAGAACCGGAACCAAGTGCCTCTCATGCTCTTCTTCACTTTAGAGTAAATCAAGATGTTATTTATGAACACGATCACAAGCTGATCTAAGTACTTATGGAATACTCAGTTCATCAAGTCCATGAATGCCATCGGGGCATTAGTTGGCCCAAACGACAGGCCCGGTTCTAGAGGGAGGGCAAGGGGCACAAGCCCAGGGCCCAATCTTGGTATGGGGCCCATACTTTTATATGTTTTGTTCTTATTATATATATATGTATAATAAGAATATGTATTAATAAATTTAATACCCCCGGTATATTACTTCGTAGTCCGTATAAGAGCTTAAAAGGCATTTGTTCAACTTTCCTTCTTACAAAGTGTAGTATTAATATACAGAGTAATAATTGCTTTGTTGAACAATGAGTAAATGAAAAGGCTAATCGCTCGCTGGACGCCGACATCTCTTTGTCCGATGTCCGTTCATCTCGCCTATTTAGGAATCAAAAGATAGTAATTATCATCTCGATAATCTGTAAATTAAGACCATCGGTATTATAGCCTTAGAATTTAGACTAATTCTTATGTCCTTATCTACTTCATCTGAAATCTGTGAAGGGACCTTGGAGCCTTTCACAATTGCAGTCTACAGACATGTGATTGTAGATTTGTAGAAGTGATTTACTTTAAATCTTAAGTCTTAACTCTACTGTTCAGTCATCATTTAATTCAAAATCTATGCCTATATATTTAAACTTTAGCTGCAGTACAAATGGTACAATTGATTTTGGGGTTCTAATTTTGACTTTTGATGAATTGTCAATTGTGTTGTGTGGTTGTTGATATGTTAATTATTAGTGCGTCAACTTTTGATTTTTTTGTGAGGAACATTGATTACAATTTGTGAATAAGATAATAACCAGAGTCAATCCTATTTATATAACGGTAACTTTGTTTGGTATTCCGTATTACATAGGTTGTTTAAGACACAGTAAAGATTGAATGGCACGACACATTTATGTATTAAGAAGAATCTGTTGGATAATATTGGCCTTGACTCTGTCATAGATGATTTTACATTAAAAACGCTCGAAGAAATTGTTTTTTTTGAATTTTTTTGTCGAACTATGATGTATCTGCTTTATGTATTCAACTTAGCTTTTATGGAGTGTAATACAATTTATTTTCCGATTTAATAATTTCAAGGGCCCACTTTTGTAAGATGTCCTGGGTCTTCAAAATGTCAGGACCGGGCCTGCCAAATGACATAACTAGGAACTCAAAGTGATCATACCTTGTGCAGAAAGCACTCTTCAGTATGTCACTCTCCTTGATCTTCAGTTGGTGGTACCCTGACCTTAGGTCAATCATTGAAAACATCGTTGCCCCTCGAAGTTGGTCAAACAAGTCATCTATCCTAGGTAGAGGATACATATTCTTGATTGTGGCATTGTTCAATTGTCAGTAGTCAATACACATTCGGAGGGTCCCGTCCTTCTTTTTCATAAAAAGAGCTGGTGCTCCCCATAGTGAATAGTGTGGTCTAATAAAACCGTTATCCAATAGTTCTTGCAATTGGGGTTTCAACTCATTAAGTTCAGTAGGTGCCATTCAGTATGGTTGTATAGAGTTTGGTTTGGTGTCGGGCTTCACCTCGATCACAAACTCAACGGTACGAAGTCACACGTCAAGGTTTGGCCCTCCACTTCCACATCACAAGATGGATAGTAGCTATTTCTCTCGATATCATCCCCCAAAGGTGTGGATACCAAAAGGGTTTGAGTCATTGACATTAATGGTTCAACGAATTCCTCGTTGAACGCCTCACTCACGAATGATCGTTATGGCCCAGTATCGATGATGAATCTCGCACTCCTCCCACTATTCTTTAGCGTTTCTACATATATAAACCATGTAAGATACCTTGCCTAACATTCCTAGACATTTCGATAGGGTTATTATGTTCACATAAGTGTTTGGGATCAAAGGAAGGTTTAAACGTTGTAAAACGGGGCGAAAAACTCATCGTTGGGCAGCCTGGGTGCCACACACGGCGTGCCTAGAAGGCACGCACGGCGTGCGTGGGTTGAAATGCCATGGGGAGCTACTTCCCTACACACAGGGCGTGTGAGAGAGGGACGCATGGCGTGCGTGGGTTGGTATCCGCGGCGTGCAGGATCAATGCACACGCCGTGCAGGATCAATGCACACGGTGTGCATGTGGAGATTTCCCTGGGGGTGCTACTGCCCTCCACGCACGGCGTGCGTGGGAGGGAGGCACGGCGTGCGTGTGCAGTGCACACGACGTGCATGGGCAAAAGTTAGCTCGATTTTGCCCGAATTCGCCTGGTCTGACCCTAAGGTTGTTTGCAATTGACCCCTAGGACTTATAACCTCAATTCATGGATGAAACACAAGTATTTAAGAGGTAATACCTACAATGGAATCCGGTTTTGCTCGAGCATCTGCCTCCGTCATTGCATAGACTTTAGCTTGAGTACTTCCTTGGTTCACGGACGGTGCGTTGCTCGTGCTTGCCCTCCTTATCCCCTGCTTACTTGGGAAGCCCCCACTTGGTTCCTATTTCCCGTATCCCCACTACTCGGTCCCGATGTCTTCGCCCTACTTAGTTGTGGGCAATTCATTTTCATATGCCCAACCTCCTCGCATTGGTAACATCTAGGTGGTTCACAGAATTTGCCTAGGTTGTTTCTTTTGCAATTGTTTCACCAAGTTACCCCCGAGGCACGTGATCTCGAGCCTTGCCCGCTTGAGCCTTGATTCCCCCTAGATGGTGGTGGTGCTCGAAAGGATCCCCTCCTCCGTGGTTCCCCTTTTTTGTTAGAACTTTAAGGGCCATGATTCACACATTTCCTCTTCTTTATCTCCTCACATCTTTTGTCTTTCTCTCTTCCCATTCCTTCTCTCCTTTCAACCCTTGCTCTATCACTTGACTAAATGTCATGTTAGGCAGATGTGTTTCCCTCTCACGCACCTCCAAGTCCAAGGCATTCCAATAGTGGTTCACCATTCAGTTTTTGTCTCATACATACTCCGGTATGAACTCAGTGAGTGCCCTGAATTTGTGCTCAAGTTGTCTCACTGTCAACTCACCACCTTGGGTTAGATGGATATACTCTCTTCTTTTCATGTCTACTTCAAAAGAAGAGTAGTATTGAACAAAGAACTCATGCCGAAAGTTTTCCCACATGTCAACCCCATTGTATTTCCCTTTGATACCATCCCACCATGTGGATGACTTCCTCTCAAGCAACCTCACCGAAACCCTCAGTTTGAACTCGGGAGTGAGTTGCATGTCAACGCCCGCCTCATTCAACCTTTTCACCCATTTAGCGCCATAGAGATGTCCCCCGTTCCATTGAACGGTTTGCATCCCAAGTCTCTTGCCTCCTTGAGGTATTTTGAGATCCTTATGATTGGACCCTCAATACCTCGGCCTCCATGTGGCTCGACGTGGGCCCTTGAATCGCCAAGGCTTCCTCCTCTTAAAGCCCCACCCGAAACTTGCCTTGTCCAGTGCCTTCGACGTTCTCTCCTAATCTTTCATTCTCGTTGATACTTTTGAAGCAATGCTTCTATCCTTCCTAAGGACTCGTCATCCTCCTCCTCATCACTCATATCATCATCTCCCCCCTCATAGGGGTCTCAAACGGTTCAGTTTCCGGTTGTTAGGTAGAGTCCTCATAGGACTAGTAGGTTTCGTTCTTGGTTTCTACATGGCCATCACTCACGGTCTGTGGATGGCCTCCACAAGCCCTTCCTCTAGACACTCTAAAGGCCGCCAGACTGTCTGTTCGGTCCCACCGGGTGCTCGGCCAATCGGGTTCCTTCTAGTGACCTTGCCATCACGTTCCACTTCATAAAGAAATTTTAAAAAGAGTCATTAGACTCATATCAAATGTCAGTTGACAGACATATATTTAAGAAATTTCTTGACTCAAATTGTCATCATACTAATCGTTAAGGGTACCATTTTAAACATTAGATACATTGCAACTAAAATACCAAAAGTTTTACGAGAGTACAAAATTTCTTATTCTCGTGATATTCAAATTCCTTTTGAAAAGCAAATTTTGAGACTTTGAAGTTTTGACTAAGGCCGTTAAATTCTCACGCCCCTGCCTCCATCTACATCTCTCCGTACTTTAGATGCCGCCATATGATAACGCTCTACACACAGTCAGTAATGTTCATGCACCGGCCGAGCTCATTGAAAGCTCTGGATTCGTAAGAACATATTATTCGGCAAATTTCAGCCGACAATATGCTACCTCACTCTTTCTCTGCTTCGAATATGCGATCTTCCGCTTCATCGGGTTCGAATCTGCACACGACTTTCTCACGTGTATGTTTCTCTCGCTCGTCTAAAGGCTGTTCTCTTTTCAAACCTCCGCGCTTATGCGTTTTGGTTTTCCCATGTAACTTTCCGATTGACTCTCATGACGATCTCAAGGTAACACACGCAATTTGGGTGCATTAAGATGGATGTATAAGCATCACTCTATGTTCTTGATGTGTTTAATTAGTTCTTTTTGTGTGTACTATGAACAGATTTCTAGAGTCAATCCTCTGGGACCTGGACTTCGTTTGCAGCGTAAGCTTTTGCCCGTTCGCATCATGGATGGGGTAATTGTTAATTCTTCTAATAAATTCTTATCCTTGAGAGGAAAGTGGAAGTAAGGGTAATTCAAAATAGTGATAAAGAATTAAAGATATAAGCTTGTGAATGGACTAAAAATGTAGAATAAGAGTGCTAAAACTCCATGAAATGAACTCAAAGGTGATACCAAATAAAATTAGCACTAGAAGTATATTTTTTAATTAGATTCATTTTATTAATTAGATAACATGCTATTACGGGTTATCAGTCTCAGAGCAAGGTGGTCAATGACCCCCCCACCACGTGAAAGTTGAGGTCCATACTGGACAATTTCAGTGCATGCTTATCATCATGATCTCCTTGGTGCGTAGGCGTTGTAATTTTTCTTAAGACTTCATCCCAACTACACTTCGAGTTTAAAAAAAATCATTGTGTAGAACTTCATCAAATGATGACATTTGTGTGAACTTGGTCTCCCACACTCGATTCTAATGTTAAATATGGTTCAGAACTTGAGATGATTGATGCTAGCCGATTGCTAGGGCCTAGGAGAATAAGTGGTTCTGAAAAAATACTTAAATGTCATATTTGGGAGTTCACATGTCTCAAGCTATCGGCATGAATTCCTCCGTTGATTCCTAGAACTTGCTCTTTCTCTTGAGAGCATTCTCAAGTTCGTCCTAACTTTTGTATCAAGAAATCAATTTATTTACCCGGCCAAAGTGGTGGCCAGATCATGATGTACTGGATTAGTGTTTTGGCACTAGAAGATTATAGTAGTTGAAACCTAAACCACTATCAATGGGAGCTCAGCTCTAGAGTAAATGTGTAATGTTGTAAACTATTCATAAAAGGAAATTGAAATATCATATCTTGAGTAATTATATCGAGTGTTTCTCTACCTCCATGGATCCTGCACTTACTGCACAATATCACATTGTGGGATTGTCACAACTAAAGTTGTGAATTTTGGAAAAGAATTGGTGTCTACATATCTTATTTTTTCGGTTAAGTAGTTTAATTAGGAAAGACATATGATAGGTACCTTTAGAAGTCCTTTGGTGGGATTTAACTAGAAAAGAGTCAAAAGACAGACCACGTAAGTGTATTAACATCATTATGGTTACGTATAAGGGTTTGTATTACTGCTACAAGTGTCCCTACCAGTGTAGCGAGGTTTGTGAGTGCCCTATTACTATCAGAGTGCACCAAGGATTGGCTTTGAGTCCTTTCTTATTTACTATATGTATGGATGAACTCACAAAGTCAATTCAAGATGATATACCGGGGTGTATGATGTTTGCATACGATATTGTGTTGATTGATGAGAGAAGATCAGGTGTTAAAACAAAGTTAGAAGTATGGCGACAAACTCTAGAGAATAAGGGTTTAAGGTTGTCTCAAAGCAAGAATGAGTATATGGAGTGCAAGTTTAGTGGAGGTAGAAGGTGACAGTAGTTCACTGTCCTTCTGAATTATGGAGTTCAGGTAACGGAAAAATGTAAATGAAATGAATGAGTGCGTCAAGATTTCTATGTGATCGAGGTATGCCAACTAGACTAAGGATAAGTTTTATCGGACAATAATTAGGTTTGCATTACTGTATGCGTAAAGTGTAGGATTGTGAGACAATGCCACATTCAAATGCCACATTCAAAAGATGAGTGTCGCTGAAATGCACATGTTATGTTTAAGGTGTGGACAAGTGGACATACTAGAAGACCACTTGGGGAATGAGATAATCTGGCAAAAGGTGGAATTATCACCTATTGAAGATAAGAAACATGAGACTCGATTGTCGTGGTTTGGTCATCTGCTTAGAATACCGATTGATACACTTGTTAGACAAGTTAAGAGGTTGAGAGAAGGGGCAAGGAAGAGATGGAGAGGAAAACCCAAACGGACGTGAATCAGAGTAGAGATGATATTGTACTTCTTATGTTGGATGAGAGTATGAATTCAGCTAGAGCGATATGGAGGCAGAATATACATGGGGAGGATTAATCTCATTTTATCCTTTTTAGTTCCGGCTTCATATGTCAATTCATGTTAGTCGACCTCAATCTCTTTTGGGACTATGACTTGGTTGTTGTTCTTTAGATTAACAATTTTTGTGTGATATACTGTGTCAAAATGAAAACATTCAAATTGTTTTCCTCCTCCATTTGAAATCTAAACTATGAAATTTAAATTTAAGTTAATAATTCACAATCTTTTGCCCATCGGTTTGGTATTAAAAAAATAGACCGTTTTGTTTTCCTTTAATTTGACTAAGCCTCTCAAGATGATATTAGCACCAAAAGTAGTCTTCATTAGAAAAATTGAATAGTAGCTTACTGAACTGTGTTACATTATATTCTGTTGATAGCTCATTTAACTTGTTAATTTCAGATAGGATCGAGCATTTTAATCATCAATCCATTAACCGAATGGACTAGTTTGGTATTAATTTTTTTTAGAAAAGTTGCAGGCTGGTTTGATGATCAACCCAATCCAACACCAGTGCACATAACTCTATATTATTAAACACACACGAATACACTACTTCTATTGAGTATATTTATTCTCACAATCTAATGACAGAGAAATTATCTTTAAAATGGATATATATATATATATATATATCGTTTGTGAATTGAGTTGATTAATTTAACTAATGGTATATTTATGTTTATAGTGCGAACCTAAGGTCCAAACCGCTAAGCAACCCAAACCAACCTGAAATTGTGTTTTCAGTTAGGTTGGTTAAACGTGAAAAGTGGTTTGGATCAGGTTGAATACAACCCAAATTAGTCTATGTGAGATGTGTTGGACAACCAAACCAGCCTAACCAATGCCAACCACAAACTGGTAATGAAACCCTCCATCTGATATTATAAATCATGCAGGACACTGATTTTTCTTCATTTGATGATTGGGGAGAGAGTAATGAGATTGGTGCATATGCAATCTCATCAAGTGATGGAGAAGAAAGCGATGGAGAAATTATGTTACAACTAATAACCGATCTTGACCTGCCAACAACAATGGATAATTTTTCTCCTACTGATGACTCTATCACATTAGCTGCCCAAAGGCTGGTAATGCTACGCAGGACACGCAGGAGAAAAAAGTATTGTCATTTTTCCTTTATAAAAACACTTTTCCTTTTTGTTTTTACTTTATCAAAAGAATTTTACTTGAGTTGAAAGGGTGTGTAGGTTTGGGTAGTGGTTACTTGTTTCTTTTCCTTTCATCTTTCTTTTCCTTTTGGCTCTGATATCATGTATCTATTCATGTTAGCTGACCCCAAAATCTTTTGGGATTAAGGCTTAGATGTAGTTGTATGATTATTTGTTTAAATATTTCTTTTTTACCTATATTTGCCTGTTACCTGCCCCTTAATAGACATGAATAGAATATGTGACTATTAACAAATTTTTATGCCTCTGTTTTATTTTCCTCACTTTTATCATTTCTTCCAATTATTCCTCTGTTTTCCCTCCTATTAGTTTCCCTAGTATTTTTGGGACCCAAACAGACCCTTTGTAATACCGAGTGACGCTGTCTAGGATTTGTGCAGGATTACGCATGGAATCCTAAACAATATTGGTCTAGTGGCTTTTTCAACATTGCTTCTCTTGCTAGCAGATTTGTGTGCTTGGAGAATTGTCAGATTACCATTGCCACCGTTTTATCTGATGCGTCCGTTTCTCATATCTGCAGTTGCAGTGTCTTGTGTTGGCTATTTATGTGTTCCATTGTTTCGTACTTTAAGACTCCGCTCTCTGATAAAGAGAGAAGTTTCTGCTCAACATTCTGCTAAGAGAGGCACCCCTACGATGGGCGGGTTATATTTCATACCCGTTGGTGTACTTGTGGCAGACATTATACTCGGATTTTCTTCTGTGGAAGTTTTGGGAGCCTCTGCAGTAACCCTTGCTTTTGCAACAATTGGATTTCTTGACGATCTAGTGAGCCTCAAGAATAATAAATGCCATGGCTTATCTGCTTGGATTAGAATTCCCTTCGAGGTTAGTGCTTATACATCTTCTACTTCTTTGCACAGGAGGTTATTAGACATTCAACTTTGAGGATTAATTAGTCTGTTATTTTTTAATTTATACAGGTAGCTGTAGGGATATGGTTTTCCTTTTGGTTAAAAGCCACTGACATATCGTCGCCTTATAGCATGTATACACTCTTGAAACCATTTGATCAACCTTTTTTCTGATGGTAACTCAAATATTTATCTTTCTATGACTTTTCAAAATGGGAACTAGACAACTAGTGATAGATTGCGTCTGCAATTCCACTGATATAAACGAGTAGATCTAACAGAAATGATAATGAAACTGATCAGAAAGTTTATTGAACATGAGGAACACAATACAATCTCAGGACTGTTCGAGAAGCCCAAATCTCCAAAGCCGAAGCCAACAGAAATAACAACCTGCTTATTTTAGCTGCTCACCTTCTATTTATATCAATATTCCCTCAGGATAGAATACTAATTAGTTAACGGGCTAATTAACTAACTCACTACCCCTTTTCATTCCTTCTTTTATACACCTTATTACAATATTTAATAGGCGTATCTCCAATGTCTCTATCACTACTCCCCCCCTTAAGATTCACCTTGTCCTCAAGGTGAAAATCTGGGAAATGTTCTTTCAGCTTCTGTAGTAGTTCCCATGAATCTTCAATACTTGGGAGGTTCTTCCATCTTATCAAGACCTCAACTTTTCCTTCTGCATTCATCCTGGTGTTCAGCACTTCTTCTGGCATCACTTGCAATTCCATGTCCTCATTCAGGCATTTAGGAAGAGGTTGAAATGATGTGGTAGGAGCAATTACTTTCTTCAATAGTGAGGCATGGAAAACTGGGTGTATCTTGCTGTCCTCAGGTAACTGAAGCTTGAAGGCTACTGATCCAACCTTTTCTAGGATTTGAAATGGCCCATAAAACCTAGGACTCAGCTTCTGGTTGATTCTCTTAGCCAAACTCTTGAGTTTGTAAGGTTGTATCTTCAAGTATACTTGATCCCCCACTTCCAGTTGTACCTTTCTTCTATGTTTATCAGCCTGCTGCTTCATAAGATTTTGAGCTTTCGCAAGGTTTTCCTTCAACTCATCTATCATAGCATTTCTTTGCGCAGTTAGTCTAGAGACTTCCTCCACTGCAGTGAGAGTCACATCACCTCTTATCACAGCAGGTGGATCTAAACCAAACAATGCTTTATAAGGAGTCTGCTTCAAAGAAATATGATAATTAGTATTAACCACTGATTCCATTGCTTAGGTTTCCTTCCAGTTAAGCACCTAAGGTAGGTCTCTAAGCACCTGTTAACCACCTCAGTCTGACCATCAGTCTGAGGATGGTAAGCTGTACTATATTTAAGCTGAGTTCCTGCCAGCTTAAATAATTCTGACCAAAAAGAGCTCAAGAATATATTGTCTCTGTCACTGACAATGGTTCTGGGAAACCATGCAGTTTGACTACTTCTTTGGTGAATACTTCAGCCACCTCCTTCGCATTGAATGGGTGAGATAGGGCTATAAAGTGAGCAAACTTAGTGAACCTGTCAACAACTACCAATATAGTGTCCTTCCCTTGAGATTTTGGCAACCCTCCAATGAAATCCATACTAATATCTGTCCAGATATTGTTTGGAATGGGCAGTGGTTGTAATAAACCACTAGGTTTAAGAGTTTGATACTTGTTGGTTTGGCAGATGGCACACTCTGCCACATATTTTTTGATATCATTCCTCATGCCTGGCCAATAAAACAAACTTTCAACCCTCTTCATTGTCCTGAAATACCCCGAGTGTCCTCCCACAGCTGAATCATGGTATTCTTTCAGTATTTTCAAAACCCTTGCTGATCCTTTTGGTAGCACTAACCTTCTTTTGTAATATAATAAGCCCTTAATGATATGAAATTCTTTGTGTCTGTCTGGATAAGAAATAATTTTCTTAATGAGTTTCCTGAAGTCTGTCAGCCTTTGAAGCAGCTGCCTCCCAGTAGAAGTTGTGACCATACCATCAACATTCAAGAAGGAGCTTGCATTCCAAATATAAGACCTTATAGATACCCTCAATATCAGAAGAATGAACTCCCTCACTGTTCCCGGCTGTTTCAAACTCAACATTGGGCCATAAGGGTTCTGTATCAGATCTGGCTGGAACCTACGGATCAAAGCTGTTTTTAAAGTGTCCCAGTTTCTCCTGTCAGTTTGGTGTTCCCACCATATGAACCAATTAATAGCTCTACCCTCCATCGCCACTACGGCTGCCTCCACCTGTTCTTCCTCAGTGATACGATTCAATCGAAAGTATCTCTCCATGCGTACAATCCAATTATAAGCATTATCTCCCGTAAAAACAGGTAAATCAATCTTTCTCCCATTTGGAACAGTAAATCTATTAAAATCTTCATGTATGCTGTGCGGCGGAAGGTGATAAGGATTCGGATTACCTCCGGAATTAATTGGAATGTTATCAAGTCTCGTCGGATGATGTTGTGGTGAGCGCGATCTCTCTCTGGATCGAAACTGCTCACTCAACGCAGCCATGGATGCCGTCAATGTTGCCGCCAAATTTTCCAGCGCTGATCGCTGGTCATTCACAGCGGATTGTAACTCCTCCTTCATTTCCGCTTGAACCTCCATCAACTTGCGTTCCACAGAATTCATACGTATATCCATTTTTGCTCTCGTACGAACCATTCACCACGAGAAACGTCAATTGTAACTCAATTTCGCGGCACAGGATCTTCTCTCTGATACCAATGATAGATTGCGTCTGCAATTCCACTGATATAAACGAGTAGATCTAACAGAAATGATAATGAAACTGATCAGAAAGTTTATTGAACATGAGGAACACAATACAATCTCAGGACTGTTCGAGAAGCCCAAATCTCCAAAGCCGAAGCCAACAGAAATAACAACCTGCTTATTTTAGCTGCTCACCTTCTATTTATATCAATATTCCCTCAGGATAGAATACTAATTAGTTAACGGGCTAATTAACTAACTCACTACCCCTTTTTATTCCTTCTTTTATACACCTTATTACAATATTTAATAGGCGTATCTCCAATGTCTCTATCAACTAGTTACTTGATGTCAAACTTACTGCGCTAGTACACACTTGTTTATTTTTTTTTCTTTTGGTGATAAGTCATATACTTTCATAATGTTTAAAGAGAGTTCACGTTGTCTGATTCAAAAGAAGAGAGCAGCAGAGAGAGGAATAGGAAAGAGTATAGGTAGGAATTTGTTTTGGTTATTCTCTAATATTGTAGAGTTATTCTGATAGGGACCCCACTGGCCATACCTCAAAAACATCATATGCCAGGTCCCCATGTTCCACAGAGAGAGAGTAAGGACATGGGGGCATGTGTTCTAAAAGTGGGGCTAGGCAGGTGCCCTAATTTCGGCTTAGATGGTCAACTTAGGAGGTGGGGGTGCTTGTGCACGAGTTAGGAGGACTACACGTTAACTCGGTGTCCTATTAATCTGTCAATATCTTGCTTTGTTAAATTAGTACTATTAATCATAATTTAATACTACCTCCGTCACCCTAATATTGGGACGGAAGGGAGTGATGTAATTTTTAAGAAAAGTAGAATTATGTGGTTGATAATGAGTTGATAAAGTGAGAATAAAGTAATAATGAATTAGAGCCGCACAAATGTTACCAAATATGGTATGAGACAAAATTAGGGGGACAAACGGAAAAGGAAAAATGAGACAATTATAGTGGGACGGAGGGAGTATATGCTATTATTTATTATCAAATTGTTACAACTACAACAACATCCAAGACTTATTCCCAAAAGGTTTTGGGGTCGGCTATATTATGAAATTAATTAATTTACAACACGAAGAAGCTGCGGATGGGTAGCTTCACAGTTGATTTTCTTAGAGCACGTGCTCTTTTAATAGAATGGTGGAAGGTGAGAATACTCTAATGGTTCGTTTGGATATAATGAATTTAGTAAACCTAGATTTGGTAGAAAGTACGGGAACCTAGCTGCTTACATGCATTAATACAAGTATTGCTTGTGTAATTATTAGCTTAACTCTTGTAAATCCAGTAAAAGTTTGTTTTGGTTGAGGTTAAGCGAGGGGAACATGTTAAATTACTTATATATAGAACTTGACCTCCTAAAACCTTGGTTTTGAGGTTCTCCAAATCAGCTTATTGAAGGTCTTTGTAGGTTCTATGAGGTAAATAAAGGTTATTTGAAATCCTAGATTATTATAATAAAATTGTGAATAAGCGAGGTGATCTCAGAAATAGACCTAGAAGAGCCTAGGTTATCCGTTGGCCCCGAAGCAAATAAATCATAAACTTCTCATGTGGGATCCTTAGAAGTACTTTCCATGTAGGATCCAGAAAAGTACCAAAAAGAAATTAAAAAATTGCTATATTTGGGGCTCGACAGCTCGAGCTTGAGACCGCCAACAACAATTCCTGCACGCTAGAAGTAAGGATGTTTTCTTTTGGATTGAAATTTGCTGGTCTGGTCTAGTCTGAACTGGTCCGGTAAACATCTGGTCTCTGTGTATTCTATAACTACAGAAGTCTAGTCTGGACTGAAAACAGTCCAAAAGAAAACATCCTAAGTCTTACTCGTTGAGATATGAAAGTAACTATGTCTATTATTCATATACATTGTAATAATCTATTATCTATCACACAATCATGCTAAGTATTTATTGTAAATTTATGACTACAGTCTTATCATTTCAGATATAGATGCTTGTATTCTGAAACATACAAATACACACCTACATGTATGTAAACACACAGAATACACATCATATTTAGGTGTCCTGGGCACCGGGCTGGCGTGTGATCACTGCTTAGCGAATTTTGGTTCATTGGGGAAATTTTTAGACGTGTTCAACCCACATAACATGAATGAACATATGACAGAGTGAAAGTGATATTCATATTTCGATTTATTACATAAGATGTGACCTGGGTTCTCTACTCGCCGACTACTTACTCATAACTCGGGGGGGCGTCCCTATTAACACTCTAACTCGTCCCATTTTTTTCTGAGTTACTCGCCAAGTACTCGGTGATTTGCTGAACTCGATGACGAGTTTGACTTGTCGATACTCGACAACCATTAATTATTACTCCCTCGGGTTCTTATTTAAGTTCACAGTTTAC